CTAACGCATACTATAAACAGCCGTACCCTAGCCCCAGCTGTTTTGCAACGTATAGTTGGACTCGTTAAAACTTTAATCAAAGAAAAATAGACTCTTGTTTTATCATACTAGCAATGGACCATCTGTTTTATTCATCCTTTGGTCATGCTTCGTCACACAATGTCAGATTTTGTCATGCAATGTCACATTTTGTCACACAGTGTCACATTTTGTCACACAATGTCACATTTTGTCACACAGTGTCACATTTAGTTACACAATGTCACATTTTGTCATGCAATGTCATATTTTGTCACACAGTGTCACATTTTTGTAACACATTGCCAATGTAAGTCACTCTGTGACGACTTATTCGAACGTGTTACGTAACACATTTTCATACTTTTTTTGTCACATACCATCTTTGTCCCATTTTTATTCCCGATTACTGGCACAGCAAAAATGTCACTTTGTCACATTATTTCATATTTCGTCACACATTACCAAACGTTGTCACACTATACCCGCTTATTTAAACTTCTTAGCTCACACTTTGTCACACAGTGACATATTTCGTCACACATTACTAAACGTTGTCCCATTATGGTCTATACCCATTTATTTGAACTTTTTAAGTCTACTTTGTCACATTATGTCCGCTTACTTCAACCGCTTAATGTCACACCTTGTCATTTCTACTTCAAAGTCTCAATGCTCAGCTAACAGCGCCGAGGTGAATGCTTGCTCCGGCTTAACACACGTCTAAAAATAAACTGTCCTTGACGCTTTTATTCGATGAATACAATTGAAGTTTTGTGATATCATCTGTATTATTTCTATTGCCGCAATGTCTGTTTTTAATCCGGAACAGCCGAATATAGTTTTTTTTATTTATTACAAAATTTCAATGACTCACGGCAACCATTTTGGTTGTAACCGAATCTGAAATAATCTCGGCTTTTAGCGATATCGATACCAAACCTGAATATAAAGAATCCTTTTGAAACGAGGAGGCTTCATTAGGAAAAAAAATATTCCCGGTTCTAAATTTAGACCAAGCGAGATGGCTTTTAAAAATAATTTAACCGAGAGAGCTATTGGAATAACATGTGAAGGGGCAGGTTGGTGGCATTTTGTCGATCATTAGAAAGTATTTTGTGAATGAGATGGGCAGTAGGATGATGGGAGGGGAGGGACGGGTAGGGCGGGGCGTGATGTTAATGATTAAAATCATCCCCTCCCTCCCTGTCGCATGAGGCGGGAGAAAGAGAACTCGATGCCTATTTTATTTGACAACTCAAGTGTTGAGGGTTTCATTTTGGTGACCTGTTAGAGCGATGGAGATTTCTTTTTTTTTAATTTCGCGAAAGACTCCAGAGCTTTTGGTTACTAAAGTAGTTATTTCGGTAGTGTTGTTGTAAGGTCATTCTCAAATGTAAATTACATGATTATGGTTTAGTGTTAGGGCAAGTAGCAATCAAATTTCTAAAATACTCCACGGGTTAAAGTGTCTTAGATGGGCTGGATTAGGGATAAGTGTTAGGGCAAGTAGCAGTCAAATTTCTTGAAATAATAAATTTGCTAAATGAATATAGACACGCTGGTGATGACAATATACTGCATCAGTAGAAAATAAGCACATAAAGATGGGAAAAATACACATAAATTTGTAATACTAACCCGCAGTGCCAAATGTTCATAAAGCAAATAGATTTAATGTGCTTTGAAAGTGTCTTTCACAATGACAATTTAATATCAGTTCTCAAAGAAGCGGTTTGTGTGGGTGGTAGTAAAAATAGCTTTTTTTTTTATTTTGAGGGATACAAGGGGAGGGGAGTTATGGAAGTGACATCGTATAGTGGTCAAAAGAACATTGAGAACTTCCTTCTTTCTAACCCCGACATTGGATCTGTTTCTAATCTGAGTACACCAGACACATTGTTTGTATGGTGTTAAGTGGTACTAATACTGCGATACGGTGGTCAAGTAGTAGAGCACACGACTGCTAATATGTTCGGTTTTCCTGCTCAAGGTGTAGGTATAAGCTAGTGGGAGTACAGCTGACCCCAATGAACCGTCCTACCTTGGCGTTAAAGACATACATTAACTCTACTTCAGCTATCATTATCATCTTTTCCCGTTCGTGTCCAAGACACATGGGGCAGGTAAAGTAGAATTTATATGTTTCAGAGACCTCACTTTGCCTAGCCGCCTTTGCGTTCCCTAACGTAAGTTAAGTACCCATCAGAGCTGGATGGACTCAGGGACGTTCAACTGATTCGAACCTGGATTCGAACTCGAGACTTTCGTATTAGCAGTCTAACTGTCTTCCGCAAGTACATGCCGTTCCATTCAGTTAATATACGAAGTGTAAATGCGTCGTTATTTTACTTTTAAATACAGACTGTAAGAATTCCGTTCTATCTCAGTATCTTTAATGAACGGACATGGTAAATATTCGTTCATTTTCAATTCGATGTGAGTGTAAATTTATTCAACAATTCAAGTTTGGATCAGATTGAATGAAGAAAACACAAATTTCCCACAGGATTTATCCGACCGGAATATTCCGGCTCTCCCGAGGGTGACAAATGCACTCACTTCACGGCCACATCCGGCCAACATCTGTCGTCAAACTGTCGGCAAACATTCAGTTGAATGCGGAGATCAAAGATATTGATCAGCTATTTCTGCAGTTCGACGCCTCGTTCGGAATGTGATGGAGCTCTTGGAAGAGCCCGGGAACTATTTCGTGTATATGTTGCATTACGGCTAAGGGTGGAAGAGAGAATATTCTGGTGAATCTAAATAATTAAGTGCTTGAGTAGAAAGATGGGCTGAGATTCTTGCTGGTAGAGGGGAGGTAACTGTCATCTAAACATCAACAAAAACACAAAGAGTGGGGCGGAGTTCCGGGCTGATTGCGTTCAACAGGAAATTACCGTAATGTAAACATAGGGGATATGACGAGGCAGGGCGGCGGCCCTTGTACAAGTAAACAAAAGTCACCCTAGGTCTCACAGCCTCGGTATGGATAGTACACGTCATCAGTGGGTTGGGGTGTTTGAATTAAAAGTTGGCGTGGTCTAGTGATAGAATGTTAACTTACAATCGTGAAGTACTCGGGTTCGAGACCTAAGATCATCCTCTGATAAATCTTCACCCCACATCCAAGCCTCCTTTGTTAGTTTTTTTTAATCTAAGTTATTAAAAATTTGATAGTGGCGTTATTGTTTAGGTATAATGCATCGTTTTGTACAATCGTACCAATGGAGAACTCCAGATAACATACATGTAACTTTTCTATAAGATTCTTCAATCTAATGCATCATTTTGTGTACCAATGCAAAAGTCTAGATAACATACATGTACATTATGTTATAAGCTACTTCAATATAACGGATCATTATGTACAATTGAAACCATGCAAAAGTCAAGATGACATTCATATAAGCTACTTCAATATAATGGATCATTTTGTATAATTGTACCAATGCAACAGTCTAGATAACATACAAGTACCATATGTTATAAGCTACTTCAATCATTTGGTATTATAGTACCAATACAAGGGCTGGATAACATACATATACCTTATGTTATAAGCTACTTCAATGTAGCTTAAACCACATGTATGTCTTGTGTTATTTTATCCAAAGTAACTGATTTACCGCCAAAGAAAACAAATCACCTTCATAGTCTTTTCTACTCATCTAATATTAGATCCTGTATTGTATAGAAAGCGTCACTTGAAAGCTAAACCTACCCTCTATGAAAAAAAAACAACCAAACAACTAAATAAAAAAGTGTTTGGCTTAAAAACAGTGCATTTTGATGTTGAAAATACAGCAGGAAAAAAATATTCAAAAACGCAATCACGTTTAGATCATGTATTGTACAGAAAGCTTCACTGGAAAGTTAAACCTATCCTATAAGAAGAAAAAAAAACTACTAAATAAAAACGTGTTTGGCTTAAAAACAGTGCATTTTTAATGTTGAAAATACAGCAGGAAAAAAAATCTAAGAACTCGATCAAGTTTTTTAGTGGTGTGCGAGTAACTGTAAGCACAGTAGCAAGACGTAGTGTACCTTACGCTAGCAGAAGTCTGGAATCTCTCTCGTCTACCTGTTTACCATCTGCCCATCACTGTTAAGTTCACCACTGCTAAACACGTTACAAAAACATCGTACTCACCCTCCCCTTCTCTCTGTTCTTACGATCAGTAGCCAGGGCTATATTTAGATCAAGGGGAAAAAACTCGTCGAAATCTTAAGATCTAATTTTATCAGTGGTTATAAAATCATTACGATGAAGGGTTTTTTTTGGTTTTATTTTTGGGGAAAAAAGGGGAGGGGGTGACTAGGAGTGTTGTTTGTGAGGTCATGCATGATTGATAAAGTGAAATGTGGACCAGTTGTTGCCAAGAAACGCGAAAAGAGGAAAAAAAAAACAAAGTTGTTTTGCCTGTTATGTTTTCCACGCAATTAGTGTTCGGTGGTTATTAAATTAGTCGTGTAGACATCAAAAGCTGATTATCGTTCCTGGATATTAATTGGGTACAGCCGCTGTTGGGGTATTGATTAGATAGAAGTACGTCTTTTCTTTTCATATTACATCAGTAGTTCCCCCCCCCCCCCCCCCAAACCTTCCCAGAGAAAATCGATGTAAATAATATTATTACAAATTATAATGTAAGAATAGTTGATACACGTCTATCTACATCCGTTTTTCTCATTATGTCCTGTCTTATATCGTGCTTGAATTATATGCTTTTAATTGCTAATAATCTGTTTTCGTTGTGTGATTTTTCAAAATGTCTTTTCCCTGGTAAGTTAATACATTTACAAACACGCACACACACACACACACACACACACACTCGAATATATATATATATATATATATAAATATATAAATATATATATATATATATATATATATATATATATATATATATATATATATATATATATATATATACATACATACATATTTATATTGTATTATTGTCTCATTTCAGACTTTCCACCCAGGAGCAATTCAAGCAAACGTACTGGATTCTTCTAACTGTGTGCTCTCACAAGATCTCCTTCCTACAACACTATAGAGCTTACAATTCATGCTTGTGTACAAGACAGTCTTACAAGCGATGCTTGGAATGTATTCAAGAGTTTCTGAAAATGAATTTGGACATCAGAAACAGCCAACAGATAGTTAGAGTTTGGTAGGAAATTAATTTGAGCAGAAGTTGGATCAAATCTTGTGATAGACATGAAGCTCAGAGATTTAGTAGCGAACTCCTTGCCCAGGGTACGAGGCAGAAAGAAGAAGACAACACCCGCTCCAGGAAATGGCGCGGCGGTTACTTCCGGTAGTAACGGAGTTATCGCAGGCCCGGAACCGACAAGGAACAGCACCGGCCTCGACAAGAACGCCAACCATTTTGCGTCACGGGGCGAATCTCGTGACCGGATGTTGGAGGCTCAAGGCATCTCCGAGGCCAGCTGGCGTGGCAATGCCTTGTACCGTGGGCTAGAGGTCAAGGCTGTTGAAAGCACCCGGATGCTGGCATCAACGTACACATCTTCGCAAGGGGTGGTAACGTCCCGAAGCGCCGAAGGTTTTTCGTCTCAGCTGATGTTGATGTCCCGGAGTTACGATTCCCGAATGGCCGTTTCCGATTTCAACGGTTCCTGTTCTCAGATGTCGTCCATCTCCGAGTCAGGGGTCGAGCCGTACCACCTGACCCAAGAACAGCATTACCATTGTCACTACCATCGCCACAACCACCACCATCACCATCACCATCACGTCCACAGCAAGCCGATGTCTCCGCTGGTGCAGAACCAGCAGGAGATGGGGCCCAACGCATGTGGGATCGTCTATCTCCCAAACTACAAGCCAGAAGGTATTGTCAAACCGGAACCCGGATTTTTTAGAAAATCTTTCGCCTCCTTTAAAGGGATGAGAAAACACGGCTACCGATCAACAAAGGACGCTGCCGATAAACCAGTTAGTACCGAAAACATTCGCTGTTCTGTTTGCCCGTACCCCGAAGCTAGCGTCTCTTCAACAGACAGGAAACAATCGGACAAAAGACCGGTCAAACCGAAAAGGAAAGGGCTGAAAGGGTTTTCCCGTTCTAAAGAAAACAAAGACGTTATTTCGGGTGATAAATGTGACAAAACGTGGTACTCCGATAACGACGCTCAGAATATCGTAAGCCCGGTTGTTCCGAGATACGACGCCAAGGGATCTATAACCACGGGCTACGAGAGATCCCGAGTTCGAGAATGTTCCGTGGAGAGCTGCTCCTCTCGCTTGTATGGAGGATCCCGCGAAGGCTCGTGCGGTAGAGAGGTCGACCTCACCGGGTTTGATTCTGCGTCTCTCTCGGGATACGAATCGGATCTCCCCAGAAACAAAGTTCACCGGTCCAGGTCAAGAATTAAAACCAACCCCTGGCTGCCCTCCCCTCAGCCGTCATTATCCGGTGGAAGACGCAGCGAACAACATCCGGAATTACGAGAATCCAGCGAAGACATCGCCTACATTGACGAACTTGCATCGCGATTTCCTCGTTCTGCTTCGTTTGAGTACCAAAGAACAGGCTCCGCTGGTTTAAAAACCTGGAAAGAATCATCTACCATTAACCAAGTTAATATCCAACGCCATAGGTCATTGACCCCAAACGATATTAAAACGACCTTCAGCTTAAACAGGTCATCTAATTCTCCAGCCGCGCTCCGAGCTTCCTCCTGGTGGTGCCAAGATAAAATAGCGTTAAATGAATTTCAACCTAAAGGATCCACCCCCACAACACCTTTAAACGATTTAAACACGACAGCTCCTAAACAAAGACCCACGTCGATAGTATCCCCTAATTCCGAATTCGTGATAATTGCCGATAACATTGAACAGCTGGCCAATAACATTAGCTTTGAGTACGAGGACATGTTGGATTCTACTTTAGAAAGTGTTTCCGTATCACAAGAGGATGGTCAAGCTTCAATACAAGAACTACTAACAGATGAAGAAAACGGAAGTATTGCTAGAAAAACAACGACTGGGTTTTTGAAATCGGAGATGCAGGTTCAAAACGCGTACAGTCCTGATTCTGGAATCGGTGGGTTAGGATCCAGTGATGGAGATGAGACATTGACCCCTGGTGGACAGCCAGATTCCAAAACAGAAGCCATGGATTGCTTATCCATGCCGAAATCCCAGAAAAATTTAAGTATGGGATACGAAGATCAACAAGTTCTTTGCGTGGATTTGTCTAAAAAGCCAACCAAAAACTCGTCAACAAAATTGGTTTCGGCTAAACAAGTAAACAAATCACAGAAAAGCAAATCACCTTTTTATAAGATTTCTTTCAACCCGTTCACCTCCAAAAATCACTCAAGCGGCCACAAAAATAAAAAGAACTCATTCGAAGAAGACAGCTCCGCTAATGTGTCTGAATCGGATGTGGATAACACGTCTTACACCGAACACGACCATTCAATTTACAGTTTAGCTTCTACTAAAAAAATCGGATCTCCCCTTCCAAAGTGTAAAATCGATACTCAAAGCTCAAAAAACGATAAAGCCCCATCCTTAATGGTCAATGAACGCTTGGACACTCCTTTTCAACCTTCGCATCGATACTTCCACGGATCTGGTATCGTAATGGGTTCTCGGGTATCGATGCACGAACACGCATCTAAAATAAAACAAACTGCATCTCTTAGTAACCCAGGATATAGATATTCAGACCCAACAGATACATCAGCCAAAAGAATTACAAGACCTTGCATCTTAAAGACGACAGAATCTTCAAGCAAAGCTTGTAAGAATCTCAACGATATTGAAAAACCAATATCTGCAAACGATAGCTTAAAACCGAGGGAGGAGTTCGATTTTCCAAGAAATATCCCCGCGATTGAGTGCGTGGAATCGCCAACAGAGAATTGGCAGTGTGACGGGAACTTCTCCATGTGTAGCAGTCAGGATACTGTGATATTCGAGCAGAGAAGTTCCACGTTAGACAGAAACGATACCGGTGCATGCGTCAAGCATGAAAATAACACCCCAGAACTGTTGCTAGGAAACGAAGAACTCTTTGTTAAACTCGACGACGCCGACTCCGTGAGCATATCTCAGAGCACGGTGGAAATGACGTCAGAGAATACAAGTCTCATGGACTGTAACGTGGAGAAGCTGGACAACGAGATCAACGATGCAAGTTTTGAAATGAACGACGCGTGCGTGCAGACGGAGTTTGATGAGGAGTTCTCGAGGTGGGATGAGGTGGACAGTCTGGCCAGCTACGAGGATAATGCCATTGATCCTGCAGAATCCACAAGAATTTGGTTACTCACTGGCAACATGCAAGGTTCCGCAGACACAGGATACTCCAGCCTAACTCGAGACAGTCAAATCCTCATGGATGAAGACACGCTTTTCCTAGCAGGAGAGCTGGAAGAAAAAGCCGCGTCAGAAAGACTTTCATATGTCGAAGGTTCGAACCGCTCTAGCTCCAGTGAAAAAACGCCAAGAAACTCTAAAAACTTTGATTCAAATTTCAAACCAACTTTATATCCCGAAAATCCTACTGGTATTAATTCTTATTCCCGAGGCAACATTTTAGAGCCTTCAAACTCACTTCAAGAAAACAAAATCCTTAGATCAATACCACAAGCGAAAGTTAACCAGTTGTTTTCAAATATAGAGTTACAATTTCAAGAGATCTTTCAGCAGATTTACGATCAGAAACCTGTACAACCCGCTGCTGAAGCGAAACGAAACCCATCCAGTAGTTCAGACTCAACACTAACTTCTAGTGGGTCCGATGGGACTGTTTGCGACTTGAACCCGCTGGAAGAATCACAGACAGGCAAGAAAACACTGAAAGACGCTGAAACTGGAGAAAATAAAAACACGAAATCTTTAGAGAAATCTTTACAAGACAATTCATGCCAGGGTAAATTTGTACACCACGATTACGTTAATGTACCTGCTATTCCGAACAATGAACAGTTGAAGAAATGTTCTAATTCACACAGTCAAGAACAATCAGCTGTAGATAAGTTGATGACAAATGGAGTGGAGAGAAAGATGAGTTCCGGCCACGCAAACGCCCCAAGTAAATCTACAGGAGCTTTTACAAACAGTGTAGATAAAGCGGATTACCTTGAGTTCTTGAAAGACGCACCTCTCAGACGTTCGCATTTAAAACGACCGCTGTTCCTAGTTCCTGGCGTGGGACCTGTTGATATGTCAAGCACAGAGCAGATCAACATGTGCTTTGACGTGAACACGCCCATAACCACAACACCCACGGCGACAAAACACGGCTCATCCACATCATCCCCGTCTCTCTCGCCCTCAACCACTCACTCAGGTAAAAAACAAAAATGTAAAAAACCTAGTCATAAAGTTCCGGAAGAATCCCTTTCGCAGTCAGATAAAGCTCACGACGATACGACTGTGGTTACTTGTTATGGTTTCTTAGACCTACCTAAAGATATTCCACAAGCTGAAGTAGGGAAGAACTCACTCAATGATAACGTGAGTACCCTACCTCGAGTAAGTCACTCTTGTCTCAACAAACACGATCGTTCAAGTTTATCAAATTTAAAACCTAAATCACCTTCATTAAGATCTTCTCCCCCATCTTGCACTTTGACGCCTAATCAGATCGACAGAGCACCAATAGCACCCGACGAAATCGCTGAACTCGACGACTCGACGCGAACTCTCGCCGCAAGGGTAATCTCGTTACGTCGCGAGAAGGACAAGGTTTACCGGAAGATCCAGGAGGCTCAGCAGGACGAACTAACTCGCAAGCAGGAGAAGATGCAACTACAGCGGGACTTTGAGAACCACAGGAAGGAAGCGCTGCTGGGGACATTGCATGAGCTGAGAGACAAGCTTCAGGAGCAGAGCAAGAAGCTTGGCCAGCAAGGGAATCTTCATAAGACGTGATGCTTTTTTCGTCACATGATCGATCACATGACATTAATCATTCATCTTATGAATGAAAGATCGTGATGTGAAATAGACAATAATGTGCTAGTTAAAGATAAACATGTAAACATGTCGAGATTGCTCCAATGTTGAATCTGGAAAAAATTTTAAGCGTGTGTAAAGAAAGAACGTGTTATGTTTTACATATTCACCTATGCGTTTTGTTATGTGCGTGTATTTCAAATTACTTTAAATATGAATTTTATAATTTATTCTAATACTCGAAATGTTGATTCCTGCTCAGCCCTGTCTACGATAGTGATACTATTTTAAAAAAAAAACATTTTGTGTGTTTTATCTCTGTTATCTTCCTTGTCACTCCGTAATTAGCTTTATCTTACTTGACTAGAAGTATATAGACAATCACATGTTATTGATATTTGCTGATACTGTGCTGGTTATACAAACCGAAAATAGTATTTGTATTAGTATGTACATAAAAATGTAGTTGTCGATGATATTTAGAGTAAAAAAAGCATTTTAGAGCTCTCGTTGAGATATTTAAACATACTAAATATAGTATGTCCAATTTAAATTACATTTTTTTCCACAGAAATTTAATGTGGGAATATATATATATATATATATATATATATATATATATATATATATATATATATATATATATATATATATACATAGCGTATATCTGGTGTTTTTTATATTGTTCAGAATCTCAGCTTGTGTTATTATGATGCGTGTTGCTATTTTGGTTATTTTAAAAATCGTCTCCCTTTAATTCGATTTTAAACTTAACGACGTTGAGCTAAAGCTAGCCACTGAAAAAAATGTTTTTTATTCATTTTTTTAACAGACATTTGTTGTATGGTGTATTGGTGACTAATGTCCGGTAAATCAAGTAGAACACCTGTTAATAATTTAAAAAAAGAGCTTGGATAAATATTATTCTCTAACATACCCCAATCACTTCTCACCAATTTTGTAACCACTTCTAAAATTTAAACCCATTTTCTTCTCTTTTTTTTACTGTATTGCTTGTTTGTTAAGGGGTCTTTCATTATTTTTTCCCTTTTTAATTAAATGACAATATATTTTAAAAAAATAACCTATATGTTTATACCTCTTAAAGCACAAAATTTTATCTCTAAAATAAGATCAACTTAAGTGGTCTAATTAACATTTTTCTTCTAATTTAAAGATAAAAAAATTAAACTCCAAAATGTGTGATTATAATTCTTGAAGTACAAACTTTTTTTTTCTAATAGAAAACCAACTTTACAAGTCTTTAATTTATCTTTTTCTTTTTAATTAAATGATACTAAATTTAAAACAAAAACAACCTATGTTTATAATTCCTGAAGTTCAAACTTCTATTTCTAAAAAAAAAATTTAACTTGTTCTTTCACAAAAAGATACCATCTTTTTCAGTGTTTATAAACATTTGTAATATTTGCTTATAACACCCATGTTTTTTTAACCCTATCTGTGTTTACTAATTGTTAACAGAAACAAAAGGTGTATTAATTTATTGAATTTACATTGAAAAACTAAAATGGCTTTTTGTCGGTGCTAATTAGGCACTATGTAAATGGTACAACTGGTGGCATAGAAAGACATAATTTGTATAGCATGAAGTTGTAAACTATTTAAAAATTAAGGTGTGAAATGTTTTTTTTTTAAAATATCAGTGATGCCGCATTGAAATTTGTACATTAATACTACTAGTTTTGTAAAAAGTGATACTTTTTGCTTTCCATAAACTATTAGAATTGTAAAAAGTGATACGTTTTGCTTTCCATACACAGGTGTAAGAAGAATTTTGGTGGACTGTGATTTGTTTTAATACAATTTATTTATTTGTGTGAGGTGATTGTTCAGTCATTGAATATCTATCACTTTATGTGATTTTTTCGTTTGTATGCCAATGATTAATGACAAAATAATTTAATGTGATTTTATTTATATAGAGTTCAATTTTTCGCACATTGAAATTTATCAATTTTCGTTTAACATTAAAACAAGTTAATTAAAAAAGTCTAGTGACATTTGTGCGCAATTTCCTTATGTTATCTAAAAATAGCTCTGACGTATAATGTTGGGGTGCGTTCAAGCTAGAAGAACAATCGGTTTGTAGGTGTTTATGTAATTTTAAAATTTGTGACCGAACGAGAGAATATTTTTGAAAACTTTCTTCGGCAATATTGTTCTAAATTATGACAGGAATCGATTGGTACATGTTTCAAGTCGCTAAGTGGTCTGGTTGCCGAGATATGGACCAAAAACTGAATTTTTTCGAGGTATTTTGGCTTTTCCGGGAAATACATGAAAGAAACCCGGAATTTTTATGGCCTATGCTCATTCTCGTAACTTGCTTAACATAATTGCTTTTGGAACTATTCATCGATATTGCTTCGTTGAGGAGGAGATACGACTTAAAGCCCGGACACACATTCATCCATCCATCCATCCATTCCCAGAAATGACGAGTTAATAAACGCAATTCTCCAGAATGGAAATTGCGCTAAAAAAATTTCAATAAATCTTTAAATTGATATTTTCATGGTTCTGGTATCGTAATGGATTCTAGAAACGGATTCGAATCTGGTATTGTCATTTATTCGATTATGGTATCTGGTATCGTAATGTTTTTTGAGTATGAATACCGCAAGCTAAACATGTTGCTTAATTAGATGAGTCCTATCTTTGTCACCACGTACATATTTTTGAATTTTAATTAATTAATTAACATTCAATAACCGTAATAATTTTAATTACTGCAACTTTAAAAAGTCTCACATTTTCAATATAATGTAACATCGCAGTGGTTTTTAAATCTAACTGTAGTTTTAAATACATCAGCAGTTAGCTTTAAAGCCACGAAAGAGCAAATTTTCTTCTTGTAAGAACTCCAACCCAAGGGAGGGAAGCGATGAATATCTCACCGTAGAATTTAGAATCTGAAGGGAGGTAAACGTGTGAGATACGGTTTGTTTACAGTTGCTTGCAAGGACGAGTTATCTCAATGAAGAACAATTATTATAAGTTCACATTAATTAAGATGATATTAAAACCACTGTACACAATTTAAAATATTGAAGAACCGAGTCAAATACGTTTTTCAGTTTTTGTTTTGTTTTTCGCACCGGTGTCAATGTTAGTGTTAGGATTAAGGCAACTGTCTAGTCTAGTGTTGTGTGTATGGCTAGGTGTAACTATGGTTAGGGTAATGTTTATGGCTTGAGATCTGGTTATTAAGGGTCATTGTTTTGGTCTGGTTTGCTTCTTGGATTATGATTATAGTTTGAGTTAAGTTTAGGATGAGGTTTTATGTCTTGTTCCGGAAAACTGCTAGGATTAGTGTTGGGCTAGTGCCACGGATTTTCCAACGAAACCAGTCACGTATTAGTTTTAAGACACAATAACTACTTAGATTGAAATACGCATTGTAGCTCTAGAATATGTGTCTTACTAAAGCATCCGACACGGATATTGTGCTATAATCTTTCAGCTTGAATGAATCAGTTCAAAGTTTTGAGTAAACGACTAACATGGTCCATTATAACTAACATTATCACTTATCCACTGAATTATCAGAAGTAGTCATTGACTTATCCACATATTTAAATGTGGATGAAAACTATTGAAACCCCTTTGAAGACTGTAAATTATAATGATGTTATGGTTATAACTGGCGTCATGGCTTTATAATATTGTCATATCACTGACCTGTCATTTGACAACCATTGACCAGATCGTTGACAATGTCATTGCCACTTTCATTGATAATGGCCATGTAAATATCAATAATTTACGGACATTGTCACAAAGTTTGTAACATCAGTTACATTGTCCATCAGTGACTTGATATTGTCACTGACACACCTACCCTTACACGGAAGTTACCTGTAGGTATGTATATCTGGAAGCCGTACTTCGATAACAAGTCAGGATTAGGTTTGTGTATAGAGTTAGGGTTTGGTTTAGGCTTATATTAGATTAAATTCAGTTTTCTTGTGAGAATTTGGTGGTGTGATGATTTCGGTAAGATTACAAATATTTTGTCTAATTTCCAACAGCTGGTCCATGCTATATGTTACGCTTTTTACAAGACCATGTCACCGTTATGGATAACTACTGATAACCATGGGTTTTCTCCCCTTTTGGAAATGTGTTTGTTTACGAAAAATCTTCGTATTACCTGCAAGCTCTACAATATAGCATCCTATGGAGTTGTTTTGTTTATTCATTATTGTTACTAGGTTAATGTGAGGCTAAATTCTTACGGCATATATACGGTAGGATTAGCGTTAGCGTTAGGGCTATAATAGCGCCATAGGGTATGCGCCTATGTTTTAATTTGTACAGAGAACTACATAAGTTAGATTTAAAATAGCGTTTAGAAAGTAGGTTAAATTTATTTTTTTACTTGTTAAATTACTATGATCAGATTGAATTATGTTCCATGAAATTCAACATTTTTTTGTGTCGTGCTGTTCTTAAAGAAAGGTTTATTTTGCTTTGTGTAAAATAAAGAGCTAGTCATGATTTTAACCTGTGTTATTCCCTGTCTCTGCCCACTTTTTTGTGTTTAAATATTTGTTTGTATTTTTATTCGTTAAATTGTTTAAACAATTAATATTACTATACGCTAGACACCATTAGATTTTTAAAATATACATATATTGGCTTATGTAGGAATTTTTTTTTTTTGGGATACATTAGCATAAAACTTTTAAAATCTTTCAAAACATTCCAGATAATCCCGAAAAAAAATCATTCAACTAATTTCACATCTCGTGTTCTTGCAGCTTAATTTAAAAATTTAAAGAGTGGAGCAAAACAAATTTAGCAGTTTTATTTTTATTTTGACGAAGTCCTGGGGTCGAAACATCAAGTTTATTATAATTAGTTAAGTAAATGAATACGAATAAAACATGAAATAATTATAATCAGAAGCGTGTATTGCTAAGGTGAAGATTGCTGTGTTATCGATACACGTATACAGTTTAAGCAACTGTAACAACATGAATTCTTTGTTGTTATTGTGGGTTCTTCAATATACTCATACGAGCAACAGTAGTTGTGAAACAATAACTTTATTTACACTTTGTACAGAGAATTAATAGATCCATAGTAAATCCATGGTCACAACTGGTATAAGTACAATCACAGTCAAGAAACAAAGTGTCGTAGTAACATCCTACATTCACAGCCACAGTCCTCAGGTTCAAGTTCTAGCACACAACACCCGTTCACCTTTTTGCTCTCCCTTTTATTCACTACTTTCTCTCCCCTTACGTACATGAGCGATCTCACCCAAAAGCATGAAAAAACACATGACGATCGCTCAGACAGTCCTTCCGCTAGCCAGGTACTCTTCATTCATGCAAAACACAATATAATAAGGATACATAATAATACAGTCTGTGACACGTCCCCCCTTCGAATAAAATTTTGTGTAACAAAATTTATAAATACAATATTAGTAGGGCAGGATCATGTGCCAGACAACAAAATTTATAAATACAGTATTGGTAGGGCAGGATCATGTGCCAGACAACAAAAAATTGTGTACAACTCAAAGTAGAGTAAAATATATTCATTTTAG